TTCCAAACTAGTGGTCCCTGTGTTAATGCATTTTGCATTGCTATAAAGGAATACCTGAGGCTGGATAATTTATAGGCAAGAGGTTTATTTTGGCTCATGGTTCTACAGATTATACAAGAAACGTGCCAGCATTTGCTTCTGGTTAGGCCTCAGGAAGCTTTTACTTGTGGCAGAAGGAAAGGGGAGCTGATGTGTCACATGACAAGAGCAGGAACAAGAGAGATGCGAAGTTCTTTTTATTTATTTATTTTTTGAGATAGTGTCTCAGTCTGTCACCCAGGCTGGAGTTCCATGGCACTATCTCAGCTCACTGCAGCCTCCGCCTCCTGGGTTCAAGGGATTCTTATGCCTCAACCTCCTGAGTAGCTGGGATTACAGGCATGCGCCACCAAGCCTGGCTAATTTTTGTTTTTAGTGGAGATGGGGTTTCACCATGTTGGCCAGGCTGGTCTCGAACTCCTGACCTCAAGTGATCCACCCACCTTGGCCTCCCAAAGTGCTGGGATTATAGGCATGAGCCACCACGCCTGGCCCAAGCTCTTTTTAAAAAACCAGCTTTCACGTGAACTAATGGAGAACTCATTACCCCAAAGAGGGCACCAAGCCGCTCATGAGGGATCCCTCGCATGACCCAAACACCTCTTACCAGGCCCTACTTCCAACATCGAGAATCACATTTCAACATGAGATTTGGAAGGAACAAACATCCAAACTATATCCGTCTGACAGTGTGTGCATTTCCAGGTATAACACAAGCTACCTTATTCCTTCTGTTATACACGAGTCTGGCATTCAATCAAAAACCAAAAGAATCCAATTCAGAAATGAAACAGAGGTTGGGACTAGCAGACCTTAAGACAATCAATTAATATATTAACATATCTGGTGGAAAAGGTGGGAAATAATGAACAGATAGTGAATTTCAGCAGAGAAGTGGGTAAAAAAGGGTGAAATGGAAACATCAGATATATATACATAAAAAGGTTGGCCAGGGACTGTGGCTTATACCTGTAATCCTAGCACTTTGGGAGGCCGAGGCAGATAGATCACTTGAGACCAGGAGTTCGAGACCAGCCTGTCTACCGTGGGGAAACCCCAGCTCTACTAGAAATACAAAAAATTAGCCAGGCGTGGTAGCACACACCTATAATCCCAGCTACTTGGGAGGCTGAGGCATGAGAATTGCTTGAACCCAGGAGGCGGAGGTTGCAGTGAGCTGAGATCGTGCCACTGTACTCCTGCCTGGGCAACAGAGCGAGACTCTGTGTCAAAAAAAGGCCACAATATCGGAGATAGAGAATTTCTTCAAACTTGATACAGCTGAAGAATTCATGAACTTGAAGAGGTCAATAGCAAGTATCTAAACAGACAAAGCAAAAGAGAGTAGTGGTGGGGAAACAGGACAGAGCATCCAAGAACTGTGGGGTAAGATCAAATAGCCTAATGTACAGGCAAACCTTGAAAATATTACAGTTTGGCTCCAGACCACTGCCATAAAACATATAATAAAGCAAGTCACATGAATTTTTTTGTTAATGAGTTCATATAAAAGTTATGTTTACACTATACCATAGTCTATTAAGTGTGCAATAGCATTATGTCTAAAGAAAAACAACATACCTACCTTAATTTAAAAATGCTTTATTAAAACAAAGTGCTAATAATCATCTGACCCTTCAGCAAGTAGCAGTAGAGGATCTTGCTTTGAGTTGATGGCTGCTGACTGATGATGGCTGTGGCAATTTCTTAAAATAAGACATTGACGGCCAGGTGTGGTGGCTCATGGCTGCAATCTCAGCATTTTGGGAGACCGAGGCAGGTGGATCACCTGAGGTTGGGGGTTCAAGACCAGCCTGACTAACAAGGAGAAACCCTGTTTCTACTAAAAATACAAAATTGGCTGGGTATGGTGGCACATGCCTGTAATCCCAGCTACTCAGAAGGCTGAAACTTGAACATGGGAGGTGGAGGTTGCGGTGAGCCGAGATCACATCATTGCACTCTAGTCTGGGCAACAGGAGCGAAACTCCTTCTCAAAAAAAAAGAGACATTCAACCTTCTTAGATCCTGCCACTACTTTATCAACTAAGTAACTAAGAATATGTCATATTCTAATCCTTTGTTGCCATTTCAACAATGCTTACAGTATCTTCAATGGTAGATTCCATCTCAAGAAACCATTTTCATTGTTTATCCATAAGAAGCAACTCCTCATCTGTTAAAGTTTTGTCATGAATTTGCAATAATTCTGTCACACCTTTAGGTTCTGCTTCTAATTGTAGTTCTCTTGCTATTTCCACCACATATGCAGTGACTTCCTCCACGGAAGTCCTGAACCTCTGAAAGTCATCCACAAGGGTTGGAATCAACTTCTTCCCAACTCCTATTAAAATGTTGACATTTTGACCTCCTTCCATGAATCACAAATTGGCATCTGGAATGGTGAATCCTTTCCAGAAAGTTTTTAATTGACTTTGCCTGGATCCATGAGAGGAATCACTATCTATGGCAGCTATAGCCTTATGAAATGTAGTTCTTAAGAAATAAGACTTGCAAGTTGAAATGACTCTTTGATCTGTGGGCTGCAGATTGTATATTGTGTTACAAGGCATGAAAACACAGCATTCATCTCCTGTACATCTCTATCACAGCTCTTGGTTGACCAGGTACATTGTCAATAAGCAGTAATATTTTGAAAGGAATCTTTTTTTCTGAACAATAGGTCTCAATACTGGGCTTAAAATATTTGGTGAACGAGGCTGTAAAGAGATGTGCTGTTATCCAGGCTTTGTTGTTCCATTTATAGAGCACAGGTGATGGCAATTGATCATAATTCTCAGCTCTAGGATTTTCAGAATGGTAAATGAACATTGAACATTGGCTTCTACTTATAGTTACCACTGCATTAGCCCCTAACAAGAGAGCCAGACTGTCCTTTGAAGCTCTGAAGCCAGGCATTGGCTTCTCTCTAGCTATGAAAGTTCTAGATGGCATCTGCTTCTAATAGAAGGCTGTTTCATCTACCTTGAAAACCTATTGTTTAGCCACTTTCATCAATGATCTTAGCTAGATCTTCTGGATAACTTGCTGCAGTTTCTACCCCATCAACACTTTGTGCTTCTCCTTGCCCTTTTATGCTGTAGAGACAGCTTTTTTCCTTAAACCTTATGAACCAACCTCTGTTAGCTTCAAACTTTTATTCTACAGCTTCCTCACCTCTCTCAGCCTTGTAGAATTGAAGAGAGCTAGGACCTTGCTCTGGGTTTGTCTTTGGCTTAAAGGAATGTTGTGGCTAGTTTGATCTTTCATCTAGATCACTAAAACTTTCTCAGTATCAGTGGTAAGGCTGTTTTGCTTTCTTATCATTTAGGTATTCACTGGAGTAGCACTTTTCATTTCCTTCAAGAGTTTTTTCTTTGCATTCACAACTTGGCTAACTCATACAAGATGTCTGGTTGTCGTCCTATCATGCCTTCCTCACTAAGCTTAATCATTTCTAGCCTTTGATTTAAAGTGAAAGACATGTGACTCTTCCTTTCACTTAAACACTTAGAGGTCATTGTAGGGTTATTAACTGAACTAATTTCAATATTGTTGTGTCTCAGGGAATAGAGAGGCCTGAGGAGAGGGAGAGAGATGGGACAATGTCAGGTCAATGGACCAGTCACAGCACACACAACATTTATCAATTAAGTTCATTGTCTTACATAGGCAGAATTGTTGATATCCCCAAACAATTACAATAGTAACATCAAGGATCACTCATCACAGATCACCATGCAATCAATGCAATATCTGTGAGGCACAATAAACCAAAGTACAAAAAAATGAGATACACCTGTATGTAATTAAAGTCCAAGAGAAAACAGAAACGGCCTGCGGGATAAGAAATATCAGTAGAGGCTGGGCGCGGTGGCTAACGCCTGTAATCCCAGCACTTTGGGAGGCCGAGGCGGGCGGATCACGAGGTCAAGGGATCAAGACCATCCTGGCCAACATGGTGATACCCCGTCTCTACTAAAACTACAAAAATTAGCTGGGTGTGGTGGCGCACATCTGTAGTCCCACCTACTCGGGAGTCTGAGGCAGGAGGATTGCTTGAATTCGGGAGGCGGAGGTTGCAGTGAGCCGAGATCACACCACTGCACTCCAGCCTGGCGACAGAGCGAGACACAATGTCTCAAAAAAAAAAAGAGAGAGAGAAATATCAGTAGAGATAATGGCCAAGAATTTTCCAAAGTTAATGAAGAACAGTAACTCACAGGTTCCTGAATTCCAGAAATTCCACATTGTAAGTCAAACTGCTGAAACCAAAGATAAGAGTTAATCTCTCAAAGACAGTTGGAGGAAAAAGAAACATTATATACAGAGAAAGGAACACGTAAGAATTATAGCCAACTTCTGGTCAGAGAGTAAATGAGCAAGAAAATAATGGAGCAAAGGTCCACGCAAGGAGCTTGCAAGTCATCATTCCATCCCGACAATAATGAAGATGCTGGACAAAGTGAAGACACAACTCTTCTTGGATCCCTCAGAAAAGTGAGGTTACACGGCAAAATACTACTCCCAAAATTGAAGAGATAGGAAAATACAGAGAATTGCAACTTGATGGAGCAGGAACTCAGAAGCAAAAACCTCCGTGGGCACTAGTGTCAGGGTAGGAAAATCTAAATTGTACTTGACAAATAGCTGGAGGCTCAGTGTGGACAAGTCTAAGATTAAAAACTGCAGGGGGACCAGGTGTGGTGGCTCACATCTGTAATCCCAGCACTTTGGAGCCCAAGACAGGCAGATCACCTGAATTCAGGAGTTCGAGACCAGCCTGGCCAACATGGCAAAACCCCATCTTTACTAAAAATACAAAAATGGCATGCGCCTGTAATTTCAGTTACTTGGGAGGCTGAGGCAGGAGAATCACTTGAACCCAGGAGGCAGAGGTTGCAGTGAGTCGAGATCACACCATTGCACTCCAGCCTGAGCAACAGAGTGAGACTCCATCTCAAAAAATAAAATAAAACAAATAAATAAAAATAAATAAAAACTCCAGGGGGACCCAGTCATAGAGCAATTTCCACACTTCTCTGAGTTTTACCTCCAGGCACTCAATCAGGTTCTCACAGTAAAAACTGGCCAAAATCCCTTTGGGATTTCATCAGGGGAAGGGGACAAGGAACCATTTTGAAATATGCTAGAGCTTTCTGTTCTTAACAAGGCCTGCCCTTGAGAGAAACTGTTTTACCAGAGCCTAATCTAGTAAAGTTTTTTCAGAGTCTTACTGATTTGGGGGAAGAGAAATATCCAACTCCAGCCAGCTCTAGTTATCCTGTTCCACCTAATGGTGGCAAGGGAGGTACTGAGAAGCACTTGTGAAGTTCACAGTCCAGAGGCACGGGCTCATTAAAGGACTGAGACTGAATCCTATTTGACCTTTGAACTCACAAAGACTTTCTTCTTCCTCTTTCGCTGATGTTGTTTACAGGCACTCAGAATGGTCCAGTGTTTGATATACCATCGTAGGCTTTCCTACAATATAGCCTCTAACAAAACTAGGCTGTCCCGAATCCCAGGTAATAGAATTGTTTACTTTTATACCAAGAAGGTTGGGAAAGCACCAAAATCTGCATGTGGCATGTGCCCAGGCAGACTTCGAGGGGTTCGTGCTGTGAGACCTAAAGTTCTTATGAAATTGTCTAAAACAAACAAAAATGTCAGAGAATATGGTGGTTCCATTTGTGCTAAATGTGTTCATGACAGGATCAAGCATGCTTTCCTTATCGAGGAACAGAAATTGTTGTGAAAGTGTTGAAGGCACAAGCACAGAGTCAAAAAGCTAAATAAAAAATGAAACTTTTACTGGGCGTGGTGGCTCACACCTGTAATCCCAGCACTTTGGGAGCTGAGGCAGGCAGATCACAAGGTCAGGAGTTCGAGACCAGCCTGACCAACATGGTGAAACCCTGTCTCTACTAAAAATACAAAAATTAGCTGGGCACACTGGCATGCACCTGTAATCTCTGCTACTCGGGAGGCTGAGACAGGAGAATTGCTTTAACATGGGAGGTGGAGGTTGCAATGAGCCCTGCACTCCAGCCTAGGTGATAGAGCGAGACTCCTTCTCAAAAAAAAAAAGGAAGAAACTTTTTTGAATAATAAAAATGAAAAGACTTAAAAAAAAAAAAAAAGACTGAGACTTAATCATAGGACTATAAAATACTTTTCCTTCCCACACATCTTCCCACACATTACTAAAGGCCTTTTTACTATAGCCCCTTTTACGTACTACATCATGTTCAGGTATCAAGAAACAAAAACTACAAGGCAGACTAAAAGGCAAAACAGAACAAAAACTCCACAGTTTTAAGAGACAGGGCAATCCTCAGAACCAGATTCATATATGACAGGGATATTGAAATGGTGAGACCATGAACTTAAAACAACTATGATTCATATGCTAAAGACTCTAGTGAATAAAGTAGACAGCCTTCTAGAACAGATGGGCAATGGGTAAGCAGAGAAATGGAAATTCTAAGCATAAACGTAATGCCAGAAATAAAAACACTGCAGCAGAAATGAAGAATACTTTTGATGGGTCTATTAATAGATTGGACATGGCTGAGAAAATAATCTCTGAACTTGAGCGATCTCAATAGAAACTTCCAAAATGGAAGAGCAAAAAGAAAAAAAAGATTGAAAAAAAAAATCCCAACAGAAAATCCAAGAATGGTGGGGCAACTACAAAAGGTATTACATAAGTGGAATGAAAATACCACAAGGGCTAGGCACAGTGGCTCACACTTGTAATTCCAGCACTTTGGGAGGCCGAGGTGGGTGGATCACCTGAGGTCAGGAGTTCAAGACCATCCTGGCCAACATGGTGAAACCCTGTCTCTAATAAAAATACAAAAATTAGCCAAGCATGGTGGCAGGTGCCTGTAATCTCAGCTACTTGGGAGGCTGAGGCGGGAGAATTGCTTGAGCCTGGGAGGTGGAGGTTGCAGTGACCGAGACTGTGCCACTGCACTCCAGCCTGGGCAACAGAGCGAGACTCCATATCATAATAAAAATAAAAAAGAAAATACCAGAAGGAGGCCAGGCACGGTAGCTCACATCTGTAGGCAGAGGTTGCAATGAGCCGAGATTACACCGCTGCACTCCAGTCTGGGCAACAGAGCAAGACTTCATCTCAAAAAAGAAATGAAAAAAAGAAAATACCAGAAGGAGAAGACATAAATAAAAGAACAGAAGAAATACTTGAAGCAATAATGACTGAGAATTTCTGCAAATTAATGTCAGATATCAAATTACAGATTCAGGAAGCTCAGAGAACACCACATAGGATAAATGCCAAGACAATAATAACCACAATCATCACCACAAAAAAACACAACACCTAGGAATACCATATTTTAAAAGTCTTTAAAAAGTCAGAGGAAAAAGATACCTTACCTACAGGGTGAAAAAGATAAAAATTATACCCAACTTCTCCTCAGAAGCATGCAAGCAAGGAGGTCAGTGAAATTTAGTGTTGAGAGAAAAAAACTACCAATCTAGAATTCTGTGTCCTGTGAAATGATTCTTCAGAGGTGAAGGAGAAGTATGGACTTTCTCAGATAAACAAAAACTGAAGAAGTTTGTTGCCAGTAGATCTGCCTTACAATAAATGTTAAAAGTTCTTAAGAGAAAAGAAAAATGATAAAGGTCAGAAACTTGGAGCTACATAAAGAAAGAGCATATCTATCTATCTATCTATCTATCTATCTATCTATCTATCTATCTATGCATCCATCTATCTATCTATCTATCTATCTATCTATCATGTATCTATCTATCCATCTACCTACCTATCACCTATTCTATCTATCTATCTCTCTCTCTCTCTCTCTCTCTCTCTCTCTCTCTGTCTGCCTGCCTGCCTGCCTATATAACTACTTACCTACCTTCCTACCTATCTATCCAACCACCTATCCAGCTATCTAAATAGATTTATTGTAAAGAGTTAGATCATGTAATTATGGATGCTGAGAAGTTCCCAGATGTGCAGCCAGCAAGCTGGAGATTTAGGAGAACCTGTGGTATAGTTCCAGTACAAGTCTGAAGGCCTGAGAATCAGGAGAGCCAGTGGTGTCAGTTCCAGTTCAAAAGCCAGCAGGCTTGAGACCCAAGAAGAGCCCTTGTTTCAGTTCAAGTTCAAAGAAAGTGAGAGACTGATGTCCTTGCTCAGGGCAGTCAGGCAGGAGATGTTCCCTTTACTTGGCCTTTCTGATCTATTCAGGCATTCAGTGGATTGGACAAGACCCACCCACATCAGGGAGGGCAGTCTAATTTGTAGTCTTTACTCAGTTTACCAATGCAAATGTTACTCTCATTCAGAAACCCCCTAACAGATATACCCAGAATAGTGTTTGACCAAATGTCTGGGCACCCTGTGGCCTAGTCAAGTTCACACATAAAATTCACCATCACAATGACACTCTGGAAAGGCAAAACCATTGGCAGAAATCAGATCAATTGTTGCAAGAGGGGGAAGTATTGAATATGAAAGGATATGAGTGAAATTTTAGGTGTGATGGAATATGCTAAATTTTTATTGTGGTGATCCATGACCATATAGGTTTGTCAGAGCTCATTGAATTGTATACCTAAAAAAGGCAAGTTTCTTTATATGTAAGTATACTTTAATAAACATGAATTTAAGAACAAAAAAGAATTTGAAGAACAATTGAAAGAAGAAGAAGAAAGCTGGGCACCATGGCTCCTGCCCATAATCCCAGCACTTTGGGAGGCTGAGATGGGAGGATCGCTTGAGCCCAGGAGTTTGAAACCAGCCTGGGAAACACAGGGAGACCTCATCTCTACAAAAAATAAAATGCAGTAGCCAGGAATGGTGGCACATGTCTGTCGTCCTGGATACTTGGGAGGCTGAGGTGGGAGGATTGTTTGAGCGGGAGAGGTTGAGGCTTCAGTGAGCAGTGATCATGCCACTGCACTCGAGCCTGGGCAACAGAGTGAATTCCCATCCCAAAATAATAATAATAATAATATGAAGAAGAAGAAGGAGGAGGAGGAGGAGGAGGAAGAAGAAGAAAAAAGAGGTAGTCTGGGCAGTATACTGAGGGCATGTTATTTAAGCTGAATCCTGAAGATAAAAATAATTTAGTGATGGGATATATTTGGGGTGGGAAGAGTTTGTAAGAGAGGAAATAATGGAGAAAAGTCAATGAAAAGATTGGCATACTTATGGAAGTGGAGAGAGGTGTGTTGCTTGAGCACAAGATGAGACTGAAGAGATTGGCTAAGGTTAGATTATGCAGCATTTTGTACTCCATGTTTAAGAAGGATAGATTTTATTTTGATGCAATAAGAAATAATGAAATGTTAAGCATAGGGGGCAAGAGATCTGACATTTTCAATTCATGTTAGCCGCTAGGTGGGGAACGGATTGAAGGTATTTAGAGGAGTAGCAGTCAACTTACGAGGCTGTTTCAGTAGGCAACAGGAGTGATGATGCTGTGTGATCTAGAGCTGTGGTAGTGGATATGAGGAAAAGTGGTCTCAAAGTATATTTTGAAGATTGAATTTATTGGATTTCCTTATGAACTCAACATTAGGAATGAAGGAAATGGAAGGATAAAGGAGGATGTTTAAGTTTTGGTCTTGACCATTTAGGAGGCTATTGGTGCTATGTAATGTGATGAGAACAGAAAGGAGGGAGAAGTTTAGAGGAATTAAAATTTCTCTTCAACATGTTAGGTTTGGAATGCCTAAGACATCCAAATGAAAATGTTTAATGTGTAGTTTCTTTCCTTTTTTTTTTTTTTTTTTTGAGACAGAGTCTCACTCTGTTGCCCAGGTTGGAGTGCAGTGGCACAATCTTGGCTCACTGCAACCTCTGTCTCCCGGGTTCAAGCGATTCTCCTGCTTCAGCCTCCTAAGTAGCTGGGACTACAGGTACACACCACCGTGCCCAGCTAGTTTTTGTATTTTCAGTAGAGGCAACGTTTCACCATGTTGGCCAGGCTGGTCTTGAACTTGGCTTCACATGATCTGCCCACCTCGGCCTCCCAAAGTGCAGGGATTACAGGCATGAGCCACCGCACCTGGCCTAATGTGTAGTTCAATGGGTAACTGAATCTGTAGCTCAGATACCTGAACTAAAAAAAGAAATTGAGGATTATGATCGATACAGGTAACTTTTAAAGTCATATAAATGAATGAAATCACTTAAAGAATGTTGACAAAGAAATGAGTTTCTTTCCTTTCAAACACTGCAAACATGCTCCACGAGATTCTTAGTCAGGCCAAGAAGCATCTGAGCTTGATCCCCTCTTTGTGTTTATTGGAGCTGAAGGTACTGGAGCAGCACTGTGTATCTTGTGTCTGGTATTGTTCAATCCAGATTTTAGTTTATGGAAAGAATAACCCAAAATTAGCCGGGCGCAGTGGCGGGCGCCTGTAGTCCCAGCTACTGGGGAGGCTGAGGTAGGAGAATGGCGTGAACCCGGGAGGCGGAGCTTGTAGTGAGCCGAGATTGCGCCACTGCACTCCAGCCTGGGCGACAGAGCGAGACTCCCTCCCAAAAAAAAAAAAAAAAAAAAAAAAAAAAAAAGAATAACCCAGAACCCTGAAACAAACTGGGTCCCAATGATCCATACAGGTTCTACTCAGTGAATGTGGATTACAGCATACTGAAGAAAGAAGGTCCAGATTTCTAAATGTTTCTCTATAAAGCCGCTTTAGAATGAAGGTCTTCCAGATGTCATCGGCACAATTTTCCACTTAATCAGGAAATATTTCTCCTCTAAATGCACGAAATCATGTTGATATATTGGACTGAAGATTATACAGATCAATC